AGCTCATGAATTTGAAAGCTATCATCTGTTGGTACTTTGTGCTGCATTTGAAATAGTATGTGTGGAAGGTTTATTTGGGGCACCTAAGTTTCTTGTTGGAAACAGAAATCTTACCCTGCTCTCTACCCCCGGGGCATCTCATCTAGTTGGTTGAAAGGAAGGGTATATTTTTTATTTACTAGTGTAACACCTTTCCGGACCAAGAAAATGGCCTATGATGTTTTCACACCCTTTGTTGCCTTCTCTGTCTCTCTCCATATTGTGTGTGTGTGTGTATGTCTGTGTGTGTTTTGAGACAAATTCTCATCCTGTCACCCAGGCTGGAAATGCAGTAGCTTGATCTTGGCTTACTGCAACCTCTGCCTCTAGGGTTCAACTGATCCTCCCACCTCAGCCTCCCAAGTAACTGGGACTACAGGGGTGCACCACCATGCCCAGCTAATTTTTTTGTATTTTTAGTAGAGACGGGGTTTCACCATGTTGGCCAGGCTGTTCTTGAACTCCTGACCGCAAATGATCTGCCCACCTCAGCCTCCCAAAGTGCTGGGATTACAGACATGAGCCACTGTGCCTGGCCCATGTTTACGTGAATCGACAGTGGTAGAAATAGCAAGGGCAGAAATACCAGTCAGTAAAAGTAACAAAAGACTTCTTCTCTCTATAATATTTACATCTGCAAATTCTGAATATCCTGGGACACTGTGATTAAGTTGAACATGGGGTTAAAATCAAATATTGGGAGAATTATGGTCCCAAGAGAGCTCCTTATGGAACAGTTTTGGGCAACATTTGTTTTGGACCACAAACTTGTGGAGGAGGCAGATCTAAAACTGAGGAGCAGGGCTAGGGCGACGGTGAGGTTTGTGAGTGCAGGGCCAGGGAGCAGCCACTCGCTCTGAGCCAGCCTCGTTTGTGCTTGTTGGACATCGGAAATGCCTCCTTAAATACTACACTGTTGTCTAGCTGCCTCAGTTGCCTCATCCCTGTCCTGGCCCTGGTGAGGAGAAAAACAGATCCCAATGAAAATAGAGTAAGATTTGTAGAAGTAGAAAAATAGAACTGCTTTCACCATGCTGCTAAGAAAATTAAAAGAAATTAAGCAGCCTCAACAGCTCTGAAAAATTAATCTGTCCATTCTAACTTATCCATGGTGACAGCGTTCCGATGATCCTGGTTTTGTTTCATGTATCATGTCGAAACAGGGCAGAACGCCTGTGAGTTCATAGATCCTACACCTGCTCTAGACTCCCTGCTCCACATCCTGCTGGGTCTCTTAGATGCTGAAATCTTCCTGCTGCATTTGTTTTCCAGGCCACCTGTTCTCTGAGACCCTCTGATATGGTTTGGATGTATATCTCCGCCCAAATCTCATATGGAAATGTAATTCCCAATGTTGGAGGTGGGGCCTGGTGGGAAGTGATTGGATTATGGGGGTGGATTTCGCATGAATGGCCTAGCCCCATCCCCCTTGGTACTGTCCTCATGACAGTGACTGAGTTCTCCTGAGATCCAGTCATTTAAAAAGTGTGTGGCACCTCCCCACCTTCCACCCTTGCTCTCTCACTTCTTCACTGTGTGCCTTGCCTGCTTCCTTTTTGCCTTCTGCTGTGATTGGAAGCTTCCTGAGGGCCTCCCCAGGAGCAGATACCACTATGCTTCCTGTACAGCCTGCACAACTGTGAGCCAATTAAACCTCTTTTCTTATAAATTACCCAGTCTCAGGTATTTCTTTATAGCAGTGTGAGAATTAACTAATACACCATCACCCAGCACTGACAACTTCTGAAAGCGATGAATCACTCAGGTGAGACATTGGCCACAAGCTCCACTCTGAGCTCTGATTTGCATCATTGCAAAACATCAACAAGGTTTCACAGACCCTTAATTGATAGGGGTACACTGTCTATGCTCCAACCCTCTCGACAGCTTGTCCCTCATGGAGAGTGGTGGTGGATGTTGGCCCGTGGGTTTTGGGCCAAGCCATAGGGCTGTGTCCTAGTACCTGGGCTACTGTTTAATTTCACAGGACTTTCTGAGGAGATCCCAGACCCCCTACATTTCATAGGCCCCTTCCTTATGGTCCTCCCAAGGTGCCATCCCCTGGGTGTCTGTCTCAATGTGAAGGCAAATGTGGACCAGTTTGCTCATCGTCCACTCATTCTTGCATTCCCTACTTATTGTCTTATTTATATAAGGCACTGACAAGGTGAACGAAATATCAGAGAACTTGAAAAACCTCTAGTTACCTATAATGTGTTTTCTAGTTGGGCACGCAAGAAATCAAAACAAGTAAACTACTACATAGTGTGTGTGGAGGAGAGAGCAAAGAGATGATGCTTACCCGGTATTCCCTGTGCCGTCCTGCATTTCCCAGGATCCTTGGAGCTGGCAAGGGCATGTGACTAGTTCTGGCCAATGGGCTGCGAGTGCTTCAGGGTCAAAATATAGATTACAGAATGCACAGTTGTCCACTTCCTGCTAATCATCTATGACCAAGACGGCCAAGGGTATCAGTTGGTTCAGAGACAAGTGTCATCCCTGAACAACAGGAAAACTTTCGACACCGGCCTGGGTTTAACAAGTGACATGAGCAAGGCATAAACTTTCCATTTTATTGAGTTACCATTTTATTGAGATTTGGGCTTGTCTGTTTCTGCAGTAAAATATAGCCTAATCTTACTTAAACAGAATATTAATTGGAGATTAGTGCTTTGGGGAAAAAAAATAAAAGTAGCGGGGAATTGGGATTGAAAGGAGAGGCTTGCATTTTTTTTTTTTTTTTAAGACAGAGTCTCACTCTGTCACCAGGCTGGAGTGCAGTGGTGTAGTCTCCACTGCAACCTCTGTCTCCTGTGTTCAAGTGATTCTCCTACCTAAGCCTCCCAAGTAGCTGGGACTACACGTACATGCCACCATGTCTGGCTAATTTTTTTGTATTTTTAGTAGAGACAGGGTTTCACTGTGTTAGCCAGGATGGTCTCAATCTTCTGACCTCATGAGCCACCTGCCTCAGCCTCCCAAAGTGCTGGGATTACAGGCATGAGCCACCACGCCCAGCTGGGTTTGCATTTTAAAGAGTGGCTAAGGCAGGCAGATGAGCTGAGGTCAGGAGTTCAGGACCAGCTGGGCCAACATGGTGACACCCTGTCCCTAGTAAAAATAAAAAACTTAGCCGGACACAGTGGTATGCGCCTATAGTCCCAGCTACTCGGGAGGCTGAGGTGGGAGAATCACTTGAACCCGGGAGGTGGAGGTTGCAGCAAGCCGAGATTGCACCACTGCACTCCAGCCTGGACAACAGAGCGAGACTCAAGTCTCAAAAGAAAAGAGTGGCCAGTGAATGCCAGATCAGGACAGTTAAAGTTGAATAAAGATCTGAAGGATGAGAGGGGGCCAAACACTGAGAATGTGGGGGAAAACGTTTCAAGCAGAGGAGCAGCAAGTCAGAGACCCTGAGGTGGGAGCATGGCCGGTGAGGCCTGATGCACATCAGCAAGGCTAAAGTGACTTGGATGAGGGGACCAGTGGCAGAGGGAGTCATGGGTGAGGTGACAGGGACCTGGGCCCTTGGTCTGAGTGAGATGGGACACCATCAGAGGATCTTGAGCAGAGGAGTGATGTGATCTACATTTTACCCATAAAGTTATGGCTGTCATAGAAGCTAAGGGAAGTCAGGGACAGCAGCCGGGAAACCAGTTAGGAAGTGGTTGGAATGTTCTAGAAGAGAAGCAATGCCTTATGCCAAGGCAGTGGCAATGTAGATGGTGAGAAGCACTCAGTTTTGGATTAAGTTTTAAAGATAAGGCAGGGTTTGCTGGCGATGCAGACGTGGAGTATGGAAGAGAAAGAGGTGAGTCGAAGGTGATGATGAGCAAGGCTTTTGGCTTGAGCCCCGGGGAGGCTGGAGCTGCCATCAACATAGGGAGGCTGGTGGCAGCACAGCTGTAGGGGCTTAGTGTGGGGTCTTGTTGGCTGTTGCAGTGAGGATACTAAGTAGCCAGTTGGCTGCCTTTCACTCTGCGTCATGCTGGGTGGGGCAGGTGCCAGGGAGCAAAGAGTGGAACCCACTATCGTTGAACAGTTCTGTAAAGTAATTGTGAAATCGTCAGCGGTCATTTTATTTTAATGATAATGGCATTTTAGAGTGAATGTTTATTTACTGAGCCTATAGAGTTCCATACCTAGCCCAGTGTCAGAGACTTCAATTTCCAGATGAGAAAACTGAGTTTTGATGAACGCTCTTGGGAGGGGAATGGGCAGAACCATGGGCTTGCATCAAAGGAGAGACTTCACCTCAAAAAAAAAAAAAAAGATAGTTATAAGCCTTGTAATGTTTAAAAGTGGTAATATTTATAATTGACCTGAGTCAGATGTTACAGTAGCAGTGTCACTGTTCTTCTTAACTCAGTGCCGTTAAGAGAGTCGCAGTGGAAAGTGCAGAAAGGAGACATGTTCATAAGAAGCAAATTAAATCCCCTCCCGAGGTGTGGGCCACCATCCCTAGCTAATTTATTGTGGTTTTGATGTTATTTCCTTAATGACTGATGTTGTTAATCATCTTTTCATGTGTTTACAGTACATTTGTATATATTTGGAGAAATGTCTGTTCTGTTCAAGTCCCCTGCCCACTTTTATATTGGGTTGTCTTTTTGTTGTTGAGTTTATAATGGCATTAAATCCCTATCACATACATGATTTCCAAATACTTTCTACCATTCTGTGTCTCATTCACTTTCTTGATATTATTTCTAAATGTTTGGTAGGCTTCACCAATGAAGCCATTTGGTCCTAAACTTTTTATTGTTTAATGGCTTTTGATGACCACTCAGTCTCTTGTTATAGGTCTCTCAATTTTCTTTTTCTTCCAGAGTCTCTTTGGGTATGTCTCAAGGAATCTGTTACATCTAGAGCAGTGGTCCCCAGCCCCTGGGCCACATACCAGGCTGCGCAGCAGGAGGCGAGCAGAGGGTGGGCAAGTGAAGCTTCATCTCTGTTTACAGTGGCTCCCCATCACTCAAATTACCACCTGACTTCCACCTCCTGTCAGATCGGCAGCGGCATTCGATTGTCATAGGAGTGCAAACCCTATTGTGCACTGCGCATGTGAGGGATCTAGGTTGTACACTCCTTATGAGAATCTAATGCCTGATGACCTGTCATTGCCTCCCAAAACAAGCTCAGGGCTTCCACTGATTCTACATTATGGTAAGTTGTATAATTATTTTACTGTACTATTTTACCATAGTAAAATAATTACTATATATAGTAATTTATGTATATATAGTAAAATAATTACTATATATAGTAATTATATATATGTTTTTTGAGACAGAGTCTCGCTCTGTTGCCCAGGTTGGAGTGCAGTGGCATTCAGCTCACTGCAACCTCTGCCTCCCGGGTTCAAGCGATTCTCAGCCTCCCGAGTAGCTGGGATTACAGGTGCGTGCCACCACGCCCAGCCAATTTTTGTATTTTTAGTAGAGACGGGATTTCAGCATGTTGGTCAAGCTGGTCTCAAACTCTTAACCTCATGATCCACCCACCTCGGCCTCCCAAAGTGCTGGGATTACAGGCGTGAGCCACTGCACCTGTCCTATTTCACTTTATATTATAATGTAGTATTAATAGAAATAAGGTACACAATAAATGTAATGTACTCGAATCATCCCAAAACCATCCCCCCTCATCTTACCGTCCATGGAAAAATTGTCTTCCATGACACCGGTCTCAGGTGCCAAACTGGTTGGGAACTGCCAGTCTCCATGATCTCCTGTGTTGGTGTACAGCTGTTCACGGCATTCTCTTACAGCCCTTCCAGTTTCCATAAGAGCAGTAGTAACGTCCCAGCTCCACTTCTGATTTTAGTTACTTGCATCTTCTCTTTTTATTAGTAATTCTAGCTGTACTTTGTCAATTTGTTGATCTTTTTGAAATAACCAGCTTTTGTTTTCATTAATTCTCCTTCTAGTCTCGATTTCATTTATCTCTGCTTTAATGTTTCTTTATTTTTTACTTTCCCTGGGTTTAGTTTGCTCTTTTTTAGTTCTTTAATGTGTCAAGGTAGATTTCTGATTGAGAGCTTTCTTCTTTTAATGTAGGAATTTACAGCTGTACGTTTTCCTCTGAGAGCTACTTTTGCCACTTCCCATAAGTTTGGATGTGTTTTCATTTGTCTAAAAGTATTTTCTAATTTCTATAGTGATTTCTTTGTCCCATTGGTTAAGAGCATGTTGTTTAATTTCTATATATTTGTGAGTTTTCCAATTTTTCTTCTATTGATTTTTAGTTTTTTTTTTTTTTTTTTTTTACACAAAGACAATTATTTAAGACCTTTATTAACAGGTGCTTGCAGTTTGTTGACTTTTTTGAAAAAATCAAGTTGTAATATTTTATTACAAATTAAAAATGAAGTTCTTAAAAATCTCAACTTGACCAGATATGAAACAATTTAAAAACCTTTAAAGGCGTATTGAGAAAAACCAGGCTTTTTTAAAAAACACGTTTGTTATTACCAAAAAGAGACATCTTTAGGTAAAAATAATAAAAACCCCATGCTGCATAGATAATGCAGATAGTTCTATTTATCTGGTCAACGGGCAAAAGCCAGCACTTAAGGTCTTCAGCTCCAATCTTTTGTTCATTTCTTATTGCTGGAATTTCTTATTTCTTCTTGTTGGATGACTAAACCGGATGATGGTAGAGATGGTAAGCTGGCATTTACTCAGCCCCGCCCTGCTCAGCCTCGGGAGCGGACGAATTTTCAGCTGGTGGGTCGGCTGCTTTTGTCTCTTTGCCATCTTGTGGTTCAGGGTTTTCTGGGCGTCTGCATAGGTAATTGAAGTTGCAGCGGTACCGACGTTGAGGTGGCTGCTGACCTTGGGTCTCATCTCCTTGATTTTCTTTATCTTCTTCATTGCCGTCCTCTCTAGGCTGTCTTTGGCGAGGAGGGCCCCTGCGGAATCGTGGTCTATATCCCTGATACATATTCGGCCTCACTGGTCTACCTTGTTCTCCTGCACCCTGGTTTGTCAGCACCCTCCATCACTTCTCCCTGCACAGGAGGGTTGGAATATTGTGATCGACGCCCATAGGGTCTCCGCATGTAGGAAGGTGGGAACCTTCGCCTGCGGTAGGGCCGGCGTTGTTGGGCCTGGCCTTCGGGAGCACTCTCTGATCCCTCGATCTTTTCCCTACTCTCACTATTCTGGTAATTTTGCTGGTAATTGCGTGGAGGACCCCTACGACGTGGATAGCGTCTATAATGGTTACGGTCTGCTGCGTATTTACTGCCTTGAACTGGAAGGCCACCGGCACCTATAACATTTGCTGCCTCCGCACCCTTTTCTCCTTCAACAACATCAAACTCCACAGTCTCTCCATCTCCTACACTGCGAAGGTACTTCCTGGGGTTATTCTTGTTTATGGCAGTCTGGTGTATAAATACATCTTCCTTGGTGTCATTCCTGTTGGTGAAACCATATCCGTTCCTTACATTGAACCATTTTACTGTTCCCAAAAGGTTTGTTGTGATGATCTTGTCCCCGCCGGCAGGCGGCGCCGATGTGAGGCCGCCAGGGCCACCGCTCCCTGCGCCGCTGCCCGTAGTGCCGGGCTTGGTGTCGGAGGCGCTGAGGGTGGGGGCGGCGGGCGGCTGCTGGGTCTCGGCCTCGCTGCTCATGGTTGCGGTGATGGTGACTGGGGCCAGCTGCGGCAGCTACGGCTCCTCCCGGGATGTGATGGTAACTAGGCCGGCGGCGGCGGTGGGACTGCTCAGGGCTCTCTGGGGTCCGCTCTCTGCTCCCGCTACTGATCGAACTGATTTTTAGTTTTATTCATGGAGAGAATATACTTTGTGTGATTTCATTCCTTTAAAATTTGTTAATAATTGTTTATAGCCTAACTTGTGGTCTATCCTGGATAACCCTAATTTGGGTGTAATTTGATTTTTTTATATATAAGCATAGTTTATTGGGTTTTGCTGCACCTGTTTGGTTTTTTATACGTTTGTTTTCAGGCTTAGACAATAGAAATTTATTTCTCACCATTCTGAAGTCTGATAACTCCAAGATGAAGGTGCTGGCTGGTTTGACTTCTGGTAGAGGCTCTCTTTCTTGCTTGGAGACAACTGCCTTCTCCCTGTATGCTTGCATGGTTGAAAGAGAACCTGTCCACTTTTAAATGTAGACACTTAAACATTATTTCCTCCTGAGAATGGGTTTAACCTCATCTCACAAGTTGGTTTCTTTTTCATGTGGCACAAAATATTTATTAAATTTACCTTGTTCCATCTTTTACATACAGTTTTTTTGTGTTTAATTTCTAAATATTTAGAAATTTTCTAGATTCCTTAATGTTCTGGTTTCAATTTAATACATTTGCTGTCCTTTGAAATGTATTGAAAGTTTTTTTTTTATGGTCCAGCATATATTATCCTGGTTCTCTTGGCTGTTGAATTGGAGAAAGTTAAATGATTCAGAGTTATATGGGAGGTGTAATTCATTGATCCTTTTTAAAAAGTTGATTTTCTTTCTTTCTCTCTCTCTCCCTGTCTCTTTCTCTTTCTCCTTTTCTTTTTCTTTCTCTTTCTCCTTTCCTTCCTTTTCCTTTCCTTCTCTGACAGGATCTTACTCTGTGGCCGAGCCTGAGGTGCGGAGGCACAATCCCGGCTCACTGCAGCCTTGACTTCCTGGTTCAAGTGATCCTCTTTCCTCAGCCTCCCAAGCAGCTTTGGAAACTGCAAGTGTGCACCGCCACACCCGGCTAAATTTTTTTTTTTATCAAAAATACAAAATTAGCTGGGCGTGGTGGTGAGTGCCTGTAATCCCAGCTACTTGGGAGCCTGAGGCATCAGGCTTGAACCCAGGAGTTGGAGGTTGCAGTGAGCCGAGATCACATCACTGCACTCCAGCCTGGGCGACAAGACCAAAACTCCGTCTCAAATAAATAAATAAATAAATAAATAAAATTTCCATTAGCTGAAAATAAATAACAGAATTTCTGTCACCCCAGAAAGTTCCCTTTGCCTCTTTCAGTCTGTCCCTGTCTTGTGATCCTCCATTGAAGCAACCTTTTTTTTTTTTTCCAGCTCTATAAATAAGTTTCACCTATTCATGGACATCATATTGGTGGAAGCAGAGTGTTTCCTATGTGTCCAGCTTCTTTTGGCCAGCATCGTAGGGATTTCTCCATGTTGCATGTCTGCATAGTTTCTTTTTATTGCTGAGTAGTATTTCATTCTGTAAACATATCACAATTTATATGTATATCCATTCTCTGGTTGATAAAGGTTTAGATTGTTTACAGCGTTTAGCTATGAGGAATCAGACTGCTACAGGCATTTTTATATGAGTCTTTGTGGATATAAATTGTTTAAAATTTCTCTTATGTAAATATCTAGGAGCAGAATTGTTGAGTCAGATGGTCGGTGTGCTTGTTAAAAACTGCCGAAGTGTTTTTGAAAGTAGTAGAACTATTTCACACTCCCACCATCAGTATATGTGAGATTGCCCCAAACTCAGCAGTATTTAGTATTGGTAGTCTTTTTTATTTTGGCTGCTCTAGTCTTAATTTGCATATTTCTGATGACTATGATGTTGAGCACCACTGGATGTGATTCTTATTGGTTACTTACATTTTGCGAAATGTCTATTTATTTAAAGTCTTTTGCCCTTTTTGTTGGGTTGATGTTCTTTTTTTCTTTCTGTTTTGAAGGAGTTCTACTTGTTTCTTTTTTTGAATAAGCCTTTTGCACTCTTATGTAGGAGTTCTTTATATAATCCGAATATGAATTCTTTTTCAGGTGTATGCATTGCATTTCTTTTTTCACAATCTCTGGTTCACTGTTCATTTTCCTTTTTTCTTTTTCTTTTTTTGTTTTTAGAGACAGGATCTCACTCTATTGCCCAGGCTGGAGTGCATGATCATAGCTCACTTCCGCTGTTCTCTATTAATTTATTAGTGTCTGATTCATGCCAAAAGATTTTTTAATTCAAATTCAGTGAGCAGGGGAGGGGGCCATTAGGGAGCAAGTTGGCAGAAGCACAGGTGGCCGTGAATCTCTAAAGTGGGAGAGCTGATGTGAGAAGAAGGCTGTGTCGGAGATTTTGCCCAGAGAGCAGATTTCCAAATCATTGCCTGTGAGGGGAGGCTGATTCTAGTGATGATGCAGTCCAGGCTGTGGCCCAAGGATGTGTATATTGGTGTGGAATGTGGGTACAAAGGGCATTGGAGGTTGGAACTCATGGTTAGGCCTGGGTGGACCATCTTCATGAATAGAGCCATCCTTAATGATCGCAGGCCTTGAAGGTGAAGGAAGAGCAGAAGTCTAGGACCAGAGTGTTTAATGAGTGAGGGGGTTGAACACAGTTGTGCTTGGTGGCAAATCACTTAGGAAGAGTAATTCTGAATCCACTTATAGCAGATCACGGGCTATGCCCCCACCACATTGCTGAGAGAATTTACCTAAGAAAGATAAAAGTCCAGGATCAGCCAGACCTTGCTGCTCAGAAGAGGAAATGCCAAAAGACAAAACTTGGATTTTTCTTCAGTGAGTGGGAGAGGCAGACAGCCTTGGACTACTCCTGGTGTTCTTTCCTTCGCTACAGATGCCGACTTGGAGAGGCCCGTGAGAGCAAGAGAGTAGCTTTCTAGTTGTCCCAGTGCCCTGTTCAGGCAAACTGACTGTCATTCTTTGAGGATGGCAGCTCTGTCCTCAACACTTGGTAAGTTCTTGGGTCAGTGCATGCCCTGGGAAAGTGAGTGTTAAGCAGCCCCTGCCACTTGGTGGGGTAAAAGATATGTGCACTGCAGAGGGCTTCTGGGAGAGGATGGCTGAGTGGAAAAGGGGTAGGAGCAGAACCCCAGCAGCCACCCCAGTGACTGTGTTTGGTGAGGGTCTTGGTGGATTGGGGAGGGGGGGAGTGTCCGTGTCATTGATTCATGAAGAGGGTGCAGGTAATGGGTAACCCTGCATTATCCCATTTATTATTTTGGTCAACTTCAGCAAGGTCACAACTCTACCTCTCAGAACTTGCATTTCTTCACTCATAGGTTGGGTCTATGTCACTTCTTATGAGTATGTAGCCTGCCACTCTCTTTCTGTTTTTAGTGGAACAGGGCTGTTCTGACTTGTTACAAAAGTGATGTGTGCAAGAGAGATAGGGAGAGAGACGACTGAAGATGTGAACACTCAGATTCAGTGTGGAGCAGTTTCCTGGTTTGCAGGTTTTGTGATTATGAGGCAGGAGCAGGCTCTGATTCTCATGAACCCTCTTTTCTCCTCCAGCCATGTCCACCCGGGACTCCACCTATCTCCAGGAGTCAGAATTTCCTCTTTCTCCAAAAGACTGTTCCTGTCCCCAGAATTTGGACCTGTTCGCATGCAGCGGTCTGGAGCCTCACACACCCAGTGTTGGTTCCCAGGTGCGCTAAGATCTCCAGGCCCCTAGATCAAGAGAGGCACTTCCTAGAACACCCTCACCCGTGCATGCTGGAATTCTTTCCAAGCTTCATCTCAGCAAATGGATGCCAGAACGGGGCCTGAGAGAGAGCCAAGGAATATTGGGACTGTCCTGGTATTGGGGAAGTTAGGGGAAGTGATTTATATAGCACCTGTTTCCCTCATGCTTGCAAAATGCTCAGGCCCATGCTCAACCCCAGAGACTAGGGGGAAATAAAGTGAAAAGCTCTCAGAGTAGGCTGGAAGTGGAGGGAGAGTAGTCTCTTGTCAGGGTGGCATTTGAAGTGACGGACAGGACAAGATGGCCTCATCAGGGAGAGACGATGTCTGAGGACTGGCACCTGGAGGAAATGCTGAGATCTCTAGCAGGCCATCTGGAAATCCTGCACTGGGTCTCATGCCGGGTCTTCAGCCTCAGCCATCTTACCGTGAACACCGTTCGGCCGGTTCCTCGCTGACCCCAAGTTTGTGTGGCATTCCAGGAATCAGTGACTTTCCAAGATGTCGCTGTGGACTTTACTGAAAAGGAGTGGCCCCTGCTGGATTCTTCTCAGAGAAAGCTGTACAAAGATGTAATGCTGGAGAACTACAGCAACCTCACTTCGCTGGGTAAGGCCGGCGTCATTCCTTCTCTTATTTATTCATGAATTCGATGTTTTTGTTTGAGTATGTCCTGTGACCAGGAACTATGCAGGGGTTCAGAACACAGCTGTGAACAAGCAGCCCTGGCACCCATGTTCATGGGGCCTCTCCTGGGTATTGAGGCCCATCCATCACAAGGACCTTGGGGGTTCTCTGGTATGTGTCTGAGCTTGGGCATGGGCTTTTGAGATACAAAATCTCCATTCTTTTGGAGGGTCAGTGTGTGGGTATTTGTGATCTTATTTCCTATTTCGTTTTCTTTTATTTACTCCTGGTAATGAAGGGGTCTCACTATGTTGCCCAGATTGATCTTGAACTCCTGGCCACAGGCACAAGCCACCATGCCTGGCCTGTAGTTTTGTTTTCTGTCAATCAAAAACTTTTACTGTGTCCCTTAGAAATGTTGGCATCATCATGTTGCTGCTGCTGAGTCAGACTTGTCCACCTTGAGAACGCTGAGCCCAGGCTAATGGAAGGGCCTTCTGCATGGCCCTCCCTCAACCTGTGTCTTTCCCATGAGTGTAGGGTATCAGGTCGGCAAACCCAGCCTCATCTCACACTTGGAGCAGGAGGAGGAGCCAAGGACAGAGGAGAGGGGCACACACCAGGGCGCTTGTGCAGGTGAGCAAGCCCCAGGCGAAGAGCAGTGCTGTGACTCCACCTCTATTCTGTGATTGGGGTGTAGGGAGGGTGGTTAGGGAATGTCACCCAGAGAAATCGAGAAATGCTCTTTCCCTCTTTTTGCCCACCCGTTCTCTGACAAATCTTTTGGTCAGCACACTCCTTCATCTTTGACTTTCGCATTCTCTTTACTGAGCTGTTTGTCCCATTCTTTCATACTTGATGTTCCTATCATCCTCTTTCTGAGACAGAGTCTCGCTCCCGTCGCCCAGGCTAGAGTGCAGTGGTGTGATCTTGGCTCACTGAAACCTCTGCTTCCTGGGTTCAGCGATTCTCATGCCTCGGCCTCCCAAGTAGCTGGAATTACAGGTGTGCGCCACATGTCCAACTAATTTTTGCATTATTAGCAGAGATGGCTTCATCATGTTGGCCAGGCTGGTCTTGAACTCCTGAGCTCAAGTGATCCGCCCACCTTAGCCTCCCAAAGTGCTGGGATTACAGGTGTGAGCCACCATACCCAGCCTGAATTGACATAAATTTCTACCTGGCATTGCCATGTATCTCACACGACCAGATTTTTTAACAATTGCTTTTGCCCCACTTTTCCTTACATAGCCTTAGGATCTGTCAAGAAATCTGCCTGTCATTATCACCATCATCCCACCATTGTCCTTTTCCAACAAATTAATACTTTCCAATTTGTTTTAGATTGGGAGACTCCATCTAAAACCAAGTGGTCACTTCTTATGGAAGATATTTTTGGGAAGGAAACACCCAGTGGTGTGACAATGGTAAGATTTCCTTATGATGATTCTGGATCTTCCTGCCACATCCAAGAAGACTGGGGCAGCTTAGCTTAGAGAAAGCAGTTCAAACACCAGGGCAAGCAGTTTCCCTCAGAGGAAGCTGTGTTTCAGAGACACTGGGTATTACCAAGTTGGAGGAAACCTAAATCTAACCTCAGACTAATTCACCTAGAGTGTCTCTGGGTAAAGATTTTTTAGCTGTGTCTCAGATATTGAGTGTTGGGGCTCAGTGCAGTTTTATTTTATATTTATGTTTTACACTGACTTATCAATTCAGTTTTGGTGGTGTTTATTTATTTTTTTGGGAGACAGAGTCTCGTTGCCCAGGCTGGAGTGCAGTGGCACCATCTTGGCTCACTGCAACCTCTGCCCCCTAGACTCAAGCCATCCTCCCACTTCAGCCTCCTGAGCAGCTGGTACTGTTGGCATGTGCCACCACACTTGGCTAATTTTTTCTATTTTTTGTAGAGATAGGATTTCACCATGTTGACTAGGCTGGTCTCAAACTCCTGGGCTCAAGTGATCCACCCACCTTGGCCTCCCAAAGTGCTGGGATTACAGGCTTGACCCACCATGCCCAGCCTCAATTCAGTGTGTTTTTTTGAGAAAGACCCTTGTTCTTGTCCCCCAGGCTGGTGTGCAATGACACAATCTCAGCTCATTGCAACAACCTCCATCTGCCAGGCTCAAGTGATTCTCCTGTCCCATCCTCCCAAGTAGCTGGGATTACAGGCGTGCACCACCACGCCCAGCTAATTTTTAGTAAAGATGGGGTTTCACCATGTTAGCCAGGCTGGTCTTGAGCTCCTGACCTCAGGTGATCCACCCACCATGGCCTCCCGAAGTTCTGGGATTACAGGCTTGAAATCAGTTTTAAACAGTGAAGAAATGCTATATGCAAAAAGCTTTGAAAAAGTAACACAGGTGGAGCCTTGTGGCCTGGCATTCACCTGTTGTCTTTGATGGAGCTCAAACGGGGCAGGGACAGCACTTCTGCACTACCAATGATGACACCTCTAGTCATAATAATGTGCTTCTATCTGTTCACAGCAGTCATGTGGGGATGATGCTTAGGGTTGCAATGAATGGGAGAATTGCCTTAGTCAGCACACATGTCTTAACCAACAGGAAAGAGCCGGTCTTGGAGAGAAGCCCACTGAATACGCTCACTTGTTCGAAGTCTTCGGCATGGGCACTCATCTTACTCAGCCAATGGGAAGGCACGCTGGCAAGAGGCCCTATCACCGCCGCGACTTCGGGGTAGCGTTCAAGGGCAGGCCGCACCTCACTCAGCACGTGAGCATTTACGACGGGAGAAAAATGCACGAGTGTCATCAGTGCCAAAAAGCCTTCACTACGAGCGCATCCCTCACGCGGCACCGGAGAATCCACACCGGGGAGAAGCCCTACGAGTGCAGCGACTGCGGGAAAGCCTTCAACGACCCTTCCGCCCTCAGGAGCCATGCAAGGACTCACCTCAAAGAGAAGCCCTTTGACTGCAGCCAGTGTGGAAACGCATTCCGGACCCTCTCGGCCCTGAAAATCCACATGAGGGTTCACACCGGTGAGAGGCCGTACAAGTGTGATCAGTGCGGGAAGGCGTATGGCCGGAGCTGCCACCTCATCGCGCACAAGAGAACGCACACCGGAGAGAGGCCCTACGAGTGTCACGACTGTGGGAAAGCCTTCCAGCACCCCTCCCACCTCAAAGAGCACGTGAGGAACCACACCGGGGAGAAGCCCTACGAGTGCACGCAGTGCGGCAAAGCCTTCCGCTGGAAGTCGAACTTTAATTTGCACAAGAAGAACCACATGGTGGAGAAGACCTACGAATGTAAAGAATGTGGGAAGTCCTTTGGCGATCTTGTGTCCCGGAGGAAACACATGAGAATTCACATTGTCAAGAAACCCGTGGAATGCCGGCAGTGTGGGAAAACTTTCCGAAACCAGTCTATCCTTAAGACTCACATGAACTCTCACACCGGAGAGAAACCCTACGGGTGTGACCTCTGTGGAAAAGCCTTCAGCGCGAGCTCAAACCTCACAGCACACCGGAAGATACACACACAGGAGAGGCGCTATGAGTGCGCCGCCTGCGGAAAAGTCTTCGGCGATTATTTATCCCGGCGGAGGCACATGAGCATCCACCTTGTAAAAAAGCGCGTTGAGTGCAGGCAGTGTGGCAAAGCCTTCCGGAACCAGTCCACGCTGAAGACACACATGCGAAGCCACACTGGGGAGAAGCCGTACGAGTGTGATCACTGTGGGAAAGCTTTCAGCATCGGCTCCAACCTCAACGTGCATAGGAGGATCCACACCGGGGAGAAGCCCTACGAATGCCTCGTCTGCGGGAAAGCCTTCAGCGACCACTCATCCCTCAGGAGCCACGTGAAAACCCACCGGGGAGAGAAGCTCTTTGTGTCGTCCGTGTGGAAAAGGCTCCAGTGAGCACAGCTGCTTTAAAGACACGGGATTACTCAGACGGGAAACAGACCTCATGGGTGTAAGAGGAAGCCTCTGTGAGCTGGCACCTTACTGAGTGCAAAAGAATCCACATAATTTGGGAGGAATCCAATTCCTGTAAAAACTGGGAAGATGAGGTGTCCTCATCCTATGGGAGATTTGTGAGAACTCACACTGGGGGTGAAAATGTACATCTGTAGCATGGAGAAGCCTTCGGGGTACATTTGGCTCTTAACAAACACTAAGGCGAGAAACCCCAGCTTGGCATTTAATGCCAAAATGGCTTCAGCACCATTTGTAGCCTTCTGGGCCCATAAGTAATAATAAGCACACTAGGGAGAATCTCTACACACAGTGGGTGGGGAAACTCGACTCCTGGTCTCCCTCATGACAGAAATCACACTGAAGAGAGAAATGAGCGAAGTAAGGAATGTGGGAAGGTCATGAATGGGTCTACACACCATGGCCAGCTGTCTTCGCGTGGCTTACAAGCTAACAACAGCTGCTCCGTCTTTAAAGAGGAAGAATGTGCACAATAGAGAACATTTGTGGCCAGCGAAGTCTGAAATACTTCCAGTCATCTGTCCCACTCCAGAAAAACCTGGCCAACCCTTGGTCTACAGCATGGGTTTTCAGCTGGGCAGCGATTTTGCTATCCGGGCATCATTTGGCAATGTCTAGAGACATTGTTGGTGGTTAGAACTGGGGAAAGGTTCTCCTGACTTGTAGTAAGAAGGCATCAGGGATGCTGCTATGTCCCCTCCAGCACATAGGAGCCCACCACAATAAAGAGTCCATGCCCCCAAACGTCACTGTTGCTGAGGTTGAAAACCTCAGTTACTGCCTGCAGCAACCCCTAAGTTTTTATGAATCTTGTGAGCACTTATGCCAGGAGAAATTTCTTCTACAAAACTTTAAAAATACAATCAGTGCTGATAATTCCTATGTGGAAATGATTCTAGCCATGGTCCCTCACTTGTGCATGTGAATATTCTCACTGGGAGAGATAAATCTCCCAGTGAGGTTTTCCAGTGAATACGGGATTGCACTTACTCTCTAATCATGAAAACAGACCCCCCCCAACCCCACTCATAAATTTTTATCTTTATTTTTAAGGTTGCACTCTTCTAAATAAACTCTTAAGCCTCATCAAGAAAGGTTTGTATATAGTATTTTTACTATAACATCATCCTTGATAACATCCTAATTTCGTTTTGGACAACCTCCTTGACCAGTGGCATATTTAGATCTGTGTGACATGAGGGTGTTTCTCAGTACCGGTTTGTTCCTGGTACGTGATTCACAAGCATTGTGACCAGAGCATGATGTCTCCATCAAGTGGTGATATTTTGCAGCTTGCTATCTAGCCAAGAGTGACAGATACTTTTTTTTTATTTTTTTATTTTTTTGAGACTGAGTTTTGCTCTTATTTCCCAGGCTGGAGTACAATGACACGATCTTGGCTCACCGCAACCTGCACCTCCTGGGTTCAAGCAATTCTTCTGCCTTAGCCTCCTGAGTAGCTTGGATTACAGGTGCCCATCACCATGCCCAGCTGGTTTTTTGCATTTTTAGTAGAGACTGGGTTTCATCATGTTGGCCAGGCTGGTCTCAACCTCCTGACTTCAGGTGATCCACCTACCTCAACCTCCCAAAGTGCTAGGATTACAGGCAAGAATGACAGATACTTCTAGTGGCTTCCCCAATATTCACTATCGTCTTGCAATACCAAGAGAATCCAGGTTCTTTCAGATTAGTAAGGTGTGCTATTTTTAAAAACCTCTTACAGGTTTTCTTGCAACTAGTACCATCCATGTCCCACAGCCCTGGCCATTGACAAATCAGCAGATGTCACCACGTGGGCTTCTGAGAAAGCTCTTGAACAGGGGTCGTTCCTAAACCTGAATTCTTCCCTGTGTGTTTTGTTCTTAGCTTTACCCCCTACTTTTCACCTTGCAAGGAGATCCAGTACGTAGTGTTGGAAGATCCACCTTATGACCGTGCGGATGAAAGTCAGGGTCTAAAGAAGTGGCTACAGAAAGCCCACAGTGACCCTGGCCTCCCCTCTGGGTCCTGTGAGTGTTTACACCAGCCCTGGACTTGTTACTTCCAGACTTCTATCACACGAGAAAAAATAAAACTGATTATTGGTTTAAGCTGCTATGGATTTTTCATTGTTTTTCTTTTAAATTTATTTATTTCAAGATAGGGGTCTCCCTGTGTTGGCTACATTCAAACTCCTGGGCTCAAATGATCTTCCTGCCTCAGTCTCCCAAGTAGCTGAGAATACAGGCATGAGCCACCACACCCGACTTGCTTTTCTATCTATTTATTGGTGGCAGGGATTTCTACACCCAGCTAGATGCTGCCTGAAGCCCATGCACCTGGTCATTGGTGAGTTTTATAAGTAGTACCTAAACGTGTGTGTATAACATGTCTACTTTTAATTGTGGGATATAGGTTTTTTCATTTGGTTAAACCAACCTTTTACATTGTATTTCAACTTTTTGTTATATCTTGATATTTTCTCAATTTACTGATAGAGATGTATTAGTTTTCACAAAAGCTCAAGGACAGATCTCGTCAGCAACTTTGTTTTGCATATGGGGTATCAGGCAAGAAAGTTGAGGTTTGCTACCAGCCTGTTAGCTGGTAGCAGTGTTTGCCTTTGAACCCTGTTGTCTGGCTGTGGAGCTTATACCTCCTTGATGCCAGGCACAGGCACTGTTTTGTGGTCTTCAGCAGTGATTCTAGATTTTTGCCCTGGTGGTGCTTACCCTGTATTTGGGGTGGGGCACCTGATAAACTAGTAAATATACTGTGTATCAGATGGTGGTAAATGCAATGGAAACAACCATGGTGATGAGAGGGAGCATGTGGGTTGAAGGAATACAAGGTGGGTAGGGAAAGCCTTCCATTTAAGCAGAGATGTCAGGGAGTTGCATGCATGTGCCATTAGTCTGGGGAAAAGCACCCTTGGCAGCTCAAAGGCCACAAAGAAGAACTGTGCTTGGGGCAGCCATGCAGCAGCAGAGAGGCTGGTGTGGGGTGAGGCAAGCTTGGGCATCGTAGAAGGTGATGAAGTCAGAGCTGTATCAGAGGCTGTTCACAGGGGCGCCTGGCTGGTTAACTAGATCTTGAACAGAAGAGTGGCAGCTATCCAATTTCAGTTTTCAAAAGGATCACAGTGGCTTCTGGGTTGATAGGCTAAAGAGGGAAGAGATACGAACAGAAACCAGGTAGAAGGCCATTGCAGAATTCAAGTGAAATGTAATGGCGGCCAGATTAAGTAGGAGGAGGAGTGTGAGAGAGAGTCATGCTGATGAATGTAACCATAGTTTCATTTTCATGTCCGGACTCTGATCCTTTTATTGTTATCCCACTATTATGCTGTGAACTGCTAATGAATAGTTGGATTTTCTCATTTTTCCCAATTATGAACAGTGCTGCTGTAAGGTGTACATGCCCTCTGGAGCACTGATAAGTTTTTCCAGGAGCGTGAGGTTGCTGGGTTGTAAGTTCTCTGCATGTTCATCCTATCAGTGTAATGCCAAAGTCATTTCTACTGTGTAAAATATAATAGAATACAGTGTAATAATACCATGTGTGTATGTGTTTTAAAACATTTTTATTGAAATGTAACATACATGTAGAAATATGCTTAATTCATAAGTGTGCAAACCATTTATCACATGAACACTTCCACGTAGCCACCAAGTCAAGAAAGAATATTACCAGTATTCCAGATACCTCCTTGTTTTTCCCTCCAAATTATGCACTCTACTGTGTAGGTAACTAGTATTCCAACTCTAA